TCAGCCACGGTTTGGGGATTCAACACTGGGAATCAGCAGGTATTCGCTAAGAGGATGCCTGATGTCTCCCAATAGCAAGCCACCAGAAAATGCACCATCCTTTGCCATCTGACACATTCCAAAGCTGGACCAGATATAAGCATCTTGTGTATTTCCAGGCCACTTGCCAAAAATGTCTGTAGAATGTCCTTGATGGCTGCATATTACCTACACATTTAGGCGTAGTGCCAAGATCCCTTTTTGACAAATACGGGTGGGATTCATGGGGCTGCAAAGATGAATAGGGTTGAGGATTCCATCCACACCACCTACAATGCCAGGTATGCCTGCAATGGCATGAAAACCAGTTTTAGTGCCATGTAAGGCATCCCCTCCTGCTGGACATTGTATGTAGTTGTGTGCACAGTGCAACAGAACAATTAATATGTTTTTTTTTATTGTGAATAGTCAAGCTGAACATTTTTGTTGAACACCAGCCCCATCTTTCAGTCAAATAACGTAACCTTGAGACACCGTTTCATTTATTATCCGATCCCATGATTCGTTGAGTCATACGGTCAGGCGCAAAAAAGACGAAAAAAAATAGTGAATCACAGAATCGATTTTAGAATCGATTCATTACAACGGACAGCTCGAAAGAATCAAATCAGTTAATTCAGTCGAACTTCCCATCACTGCTGTGTAGCGACTGGCCCTGGCCCCACATGAGCTCACCGCGCCCCCTAGCGTGGTGGAGCACTTCCGGTTTTGGATCGTCTACTTGCTGTGCATTTTCTTTCTGTTTCTGCTTTTTCTTTTGTTTGTCTTTTTTCACTTGCAGCGCATTTTCTTTCTGTTTCTGCTTTTTCTTTTGTTTGTCTTTTTTCACTTGCAGCGCATTTTCTTTTTGTTTCTGCTTTTTCTTTTGTTTGTCTTTTTTGAATTGCAGCGCATTTTCATTTTGTTTCTGCTTTTTCTTTTGTTTGTGTTTTGTCTCTAGGGGCCACCGTACTTATGCCACGCCCCTAACCCCAATGGTTTAAGGCTAAGCAGTGGTTCCCAAACTGGGGGGCACAGAGGTAAAATAATCTCTTCACAGACTGGACGATTAAACAAATAAAGCAGCGCAACATTACAGTAACTAACAATAAATGAACCACTAACTTACGTGTACTATTAGAGCATTTATGTCATTTATTTAAAATGTATTTTACCAGGTAAATTAACTGAAAAACAGTTCTCACTGCTTTACGTGAAATAGCAGATAACGCATCGGAACTTCCTGGGATACAAACGTCATACAAACGACACGTTCTTCAGCCAATAAGGGCAAAGTTGTGTCGTCACGGAGGCTGTTCCAGTTTGTTCAGCCGGCTGAGAGGTGCTGTACGATCTGTCTTAAGTCGTCTTGCTCCGGCAAGGTTTTTGTACCATGTGACATGGTGACGCGTGACGACGTCTTGCAGCGCCGGACAAAAAAAATCTAACCATATTATGAAAAACGAGGTTTAAAATTTTCTACATGAAGTGCAGGGAGATTATCAATTAATGGGTATGATTTAGTGTTGTTTTGTGCTATAGTATAGGCTGAAACCTGCGGTTATCATTAAAAACAAAATTAAGGCTTATGTTGGACTTTTATTTTTAATTGATTGCTCTTTTTTCTCCCACAGTGGTGAAATTGCACCATTTGTATTTTGTAATTGCATTTGTTTCGCTTAATTAGAAAAGGGAGTTGTATTTCAAATAAAGTTTGAATCTGAACCTGTGTAGTTTGAATTGGAGGGGAGGGCTCAATAATATTCCTATCTAGAAAAGGGGGGCCCTGCAGAGAAAGTTTGGGAACCACTGGGCTTAAGGAACTGGCTGCCCCTACTGTCTCCTCTATGTCAGTTTGATGAGGTGGCCTCCTGGGATGCTTTTCCAGCTGTCATGAAGGAGGTCCCACATATGCAGAGCACTCATTGGCCGCTTTTTCTTCACTTTCTGTTCAAACTCCTCCAAAACCATTTCTACTGTGTTTGTGCCAGGTGCCAGGTCATGTGATGCAACACTCTGTCTGCTTCCATACACACAAATATAAGTCTGCAGAGTTTACAAGCCGATGGTGACCAGATATACTGGATGGGAGACTTTGGAGCAATTCCCACGGAGAAAAGCAACTGTAAGGAAGGTAATGGTTTTGTGGGTATCCACCCATAGCCACCAGAAGGGGTACCCATACCCCCCCCCCCCCCGCCCCCAATGTTGCAGTCTTCTGCGCACAACTCCTTTTCTAATTACATAGTCGACTAATTGGAAAGTATGCAGTAGCTAAGGCTCAGCAGAACCCAGATGCAAAATAAGTGCTCTGCATAACAACAGTGGGGGCAGAGACCACTGCTGGCACAGACTTTCCACCTCCTGCTTGTCTATGCCTGATTACTGTCCCTGCCTCCAAGTAAAGGCCAAGGGAAATGGGAGAATGATGTGGACGTGGTGGGGAACCACCCTGCAGACTTGGGGCTTCTGACAGTGGAGATGAGCATTCACCTACAAAGGTGGCGGTCTGCCTCACAGGCCCATACATCAAACCTGCAGTGCGTCACTGGGCCTGAGATCACCCAGTGAAAAGCTCATTGTGCTGATAATAAGGGAAGGGTACTCTGCTCACGGGTGTTTTTACTCTGAAAAGGACAACTAAGATGGAGTGGATGACGTTTTGTCTTGGTGTCAGTGCCGCCAGTCTGGATTTCCCTTTCTTTGGATGGGTATCATTTTTAGGAACTTTTTAAAAGATACAGTACCAGTCAAAAATCTGGACACACCTGCTTTTAATGGATTTGTCTGTGCAGTAGGTTGTGGTTTTGCGGACAGCCGAAACCATGGATAATAGTGTACCATCCACAGAGCCCATTTGTAACGTGATTTTCCTATAATCACATATAGTAATTGAGAAATCATGCACAGAAAAACATTACCAACATTAAATACAGTAATGATAAAGTACATTGTATATTATTAAACAGTGTCATACAGTACTTTACTCTCCATTGAATGAAAGGGATTCCGTTTTAGCCTAATTCTCAAAAAACAACAGAGCAATGAAAAAAATGTATGTATCAAGGGATGACGGAGCAATGAAAATCATGCTTTTTATTCCCCTCAAAGGACGAAGGCACAATGAAAAAACATATTGTTACACATTTTATTTTTTTTTAGACTGTGGTAGACCACAGATAACTGAAACTGTGACTACTGAAACCTTAGATGCGGGAGGACTACTGTATTTTAGTCATGTTATTCACTTCATAGTAAAAGGCCTCGAGACAATGAAGTAATAGATATCAAATATTGCAACAATCAAGAGAAGTGTTCAACATCTCAAATTTTAGAATCTTTACAATAGCCCCCTTAGGCTTTAATAACAGCATTTCAGAGTCTTGGCGTTCTTACATCCAGATGTAGCCACCTAGAATGCTTCTCCCACAGTCCTGAAGGAGTTTCCAAAATTTCTGGGCACAAGCTGGCTACCTTGCTATTACTCTTCAATCCACCTCATCCCAAACCAGCTACAGGGTTTAGGTTGGGTGACTGAGGGCCAGGTCATCGTTCTAAGCACTCTATTGATTTCCTTGTTGACATGATAATATGGTACTTTCATAACCCCAAGGCGTGCTTAAGGTCTCTATGTTGCTGAAAAATAAATGATTTTCAGTAGATGCATCCAGACATTTTGCTTGAATTGTCCATGAATAATGAGGCCATCCATACTAAAGTGCCACATTTCCTGTATAAAACATGGGATCTGGCTCAGAGCCACACACCTGATAAGCTGAATCTGTTGCTTAGCAATTGGTCAATAAATACACACTCACATCTGCATATGTAAGTATGAGCAGAATGACCATCTGTTCTGCATTCAGAAATCACTCTCATGGATATATAGAATTTACATAATTCATGTAACTCACATACTGAGAAATCATGTGTGCTCAGAGAAATGATGAAAAGCTGCGAGAAGATCATAGCTCTCTTCAGGGGCACCGTAATGGGGGGAAGTTAGGTCGACTCCAATGGCCCCTGACTGACAGAGGCCCTAAAAAATTTGGAACATAATTGGATTGGTTTGGGTGGGATGCACAATGCGATATGCACCCGAAACCTGTAGCTCTATCGCTTCAAGAAATGTCTGCTGAATAAAGCATTTCTTATACAATAATGTCGCTGAAAAAATTCAAGGTGATGCAGACACCTAACAGGTATGCAAATTCTAATTACTGAATGAATAATTGCTATTGCAGTTTGGATTACAGGTCATTGACGAATAACAATAACTCAAGGAAATCAACCTCAAAGTGCTAGAACTAAGAATGAGTAAGGAACACCACGCCGCATATCTCATCTAAAAGGAAAATTATATTTTCATCCCATTCTTATTAAAAGCTCAGCGCAAATCCTTTAACCATCCATCATGAATATGTCAAGTCAAATATCCCTGTCTTTTATAACTGCTTATCTAGTACAAAGAGGGGCATCAGAGCCGGGGACATTTGTACCCCCTAATGTATAATTTGGATTCATCATCCCCTCAAAATAAATAGACCTTTATAATTAAATTATTAAATTGTGTATCTCCCCCCCCCCCCCCCCATCCAAGAAGGAACTGGACAAACGGCAGGGGACCACCCTCGCTGTATTGTGAGCCAAATACCTCAAGCTAAATTTATTTAGGGAGGGTCATTTTAAAATATCGTATTTGAACTATGCGTGTATTTTACTTTTAGCATTGTACATTCTGTAATTGGGCTTATTTAACTAAAATCAAGATAAAAGGTTGATTTCTACCCCCCCAAAACAACCTTAGCGCTGCCCCTGAATCTCGGAATCTCATTTTCAAGAGGTCACTTTTCAATAAATCGAAAATTACGTCAAATTTTACACCTCATTGTCCACCTAATCTTAAAACTCATTTATAATACAGTCGTACTACAAAAAGTTTTCCTCTGCTTACTGATTGGTCGGGGAGTATCCTACAGCATGTAGGTGGAACACAAAGCAAAACGTAACAGGGTTAGGGACGGTACATACTTGCTATTGCAATGTACTAAAAGTCAGGCTCCCCGGCGCTTGATAGCGACAGTGAAGGTGCTTAGATTACAGTAAATGCCACTTCCTCCAGTTCAGAGTAAGGTGAAAGGGTCGAGACTCACAAATTATTTTTCCCATGAGATCCGTACCAGAGGACTTTAAAATATCGTGAGTATTTCAACTAAGCCATTACTGTTGGCAGAATATGGCAATATTTTTTTAATGAAACAAACGTTTTGAATTCAGGTCTTTTAATAAAAAAATATATATATAATCCCATGAATTAGGATTAATTGCGCATACCTAAGTATTGTAGGGTCTTTGCGGTTCATCCTCAGATAGTTATTACAACTCTTAACTGCAAATTATTGCGTACAGAAACTCTAGAAGAGACACCCGAGAGGGGTAATTTATTTCTTAATCACGTCTGTGGTCTTCCAGCTGCTGCAGTGCAGCAAAGTTCGAGATTGAAGGAGCTGCCACTGTTTTTTTATCCTGCGGATGGTAAGTTCAGCAACTTCGTCACTACATTAAAAATGTGTAATGTCCATTACTTTTACATCTATCATTTATCGCTGTTTTCCCAAGGCACGGCGGTTACCTGTCAGGGGTCGTTAACTGGACAGACTGGCAGTCAGTGCCATGATCATGGCAGTTTAGCTCCGGAGTCAAAAACCCTTTACACTCATCGTGTCCTTCTCAAAATCGGACGCCATGCTTTCCTATCTGAATCGAAACACGTTGCTTGTTTGTTATTTTAAACCGTCACGCTTACATGCATTAGAAATATGACGTTTTGCTCGTTAAAGTGAAAAAATCATGTTTACTCCAAACCCCGCTGGAGACCAGTTCTTATTTGTAATGGTTATTGGGAAATTCCCAGCTAACGTTTCAATTCCGATCGAAATAGAAAAGCGTAAAGTATAGGCTACACAGCTTAAGCAAAAGCTTCAGCCCATTACTTTATCAGTTTTAACCGTTGTATGACTTTCTAAAAACCATTTGTCGTAAATTCGTTAAAAAAATATTTTAACTATTAAACATGTTGCTACTTCAATTAGAGACGCGTAGGCCTAAAACATAAATGGCAATTTAAAGAAATGACAAAGATTGGCAAGGTAAAAATTAATTGATACATGAAGGCGTCCCCTTAAAACGTTTTAACCCTTTTAAATTGAACAAATACCACACAAAAAATGTCTATACACTATTTAAATTGCGATATTTTAAAAGGTTATGTGCTAAATTAGTAGGTTAAATATTTTTTTGTTACAGAACCACAAATTCACAACAAAAGACACCTATATCGAAGTACATGAATTAAATATCAATAGGGGTTATGGAGTGAAAAAACGTCCAACGGCTCAATCTTCCATGAGATTTAAATATTTCACATATAAAATAATAGAAATAGACTTCTCGTTACATTTGGATTTAGAACGTCAGAAATGCAATTAAAAATACAGCAATATGCCTACGGTAAATTCATTAAATCTGATTACATAGGAAAACGTCCTTTAAATTATCTTGTGATTAGTAACAAAAAACAGCTTGATATTGGTGACTTAACTGTTCGGCGTCAATCACATGATCTAGTTATTTCTAAATGATATGTCATTTGATCCGTGATGTGAAGTGTCGTTTTTCCTCCTTTGTCGCCTTCCCATTTTGGCCGTGTGAATATGTAGCGTCACATTCTTAGCTATATTTTAGGTGAGCTTGACGTCGTAACATATTTAGGTAACGAATGAGTGCCGTTAATCGAGGCTGTTATCTAAACATTTTAAATAGCAATGTATGAAGGGTGTCGTAATTATTATCGCTTCGATTGCGAAAGCATGAATTTATTTTTAAAACATGCAAAAAAAATGGTTTTGCTAAAACAAGCAGGCGTGGTCTCTCCCAGAGGCATGGCTATGGATCAGCTGCTTATGCAACACCACCCCATCCAACTTTTAATATCGCCACCCAGACAGACACTGTGCCTCCCCTTGATAACCAGAACAGTATGCATTTGCATTAACATGGACAAGGCTGCCAAGTCCTATGTTTTATAAATGTAATGGTAAATCTGAGATTACAGGTCTTCTTATCATTGATAAGGACTTGTACCATTCTCTTTCAGAGCCATGAGACCCTTTTGCAGACAGAGGACTTTCAAGTGTCCACTGTGCATTATGGTGCTCATGCTTGTATTAGGAATCATTTTTTTAAGTATGGACCTCATGGCCAATCAGCCTGACCTGGGAACTCTGATATCCAGCGACTTGTTCTTCATAGGAAAGATTCAACATGACTCTGTGACAGAAACTGCTTTACCTGATTATAAATGTGTGCCTAAAAATGACAGTGAGGGGAGTATTCCTCAGCACCTGCCAGAGGCCCACCGTGAATTTCTCAGGTTCAGGCACTGCCGCCTGTTCCGCAAGCTCCTGAGCCCTACAGACTGTGAGGGAGACCTCTTCCTCCTTCTGGCCATCAAGTCAACTGCTGTCCAGATTGACCGCCGAATGGCTCTCCGGAGTACGTGGGGCAAATATGGACTTGTTGGCGGCAAGAGGGTGAAGCTTGTGTTCCTTATGGGCCGCTCCAAGGACATGGTGAAGGGCTACATGTTACAGAGGCTTCTCGAGTATGAGAATGAGCAGTTTGGTGACATTCTGCAGTGGGACTTTGCAGATACCTTCTTCAATCTGACGCTGAAGGAGATCCACTTCCTCAGGTGGTTCAACGCAAAGTGTCAGACTGCCCAATTTGTAATGAAGGGGGATGATGATGTCTTTGCCCACACTGGCAACCTGGTGGAGTTCCTCAAGGAGTACAGTCCTTCCAAACACCTCTTTGTTGGTGATGTGATTACACCAGCATTTCCCATTCGTGATCCAAAGGACAAGTATTATATCCCAGAGGAGCTATACCGTGAGCCTGAGTACCCTCCCTATGCAGGAGGTGGCGGTTACCTAATGTCACGATGGACAGTGATCCACCTGAACCAGGCAGCCCAAAGCACAGACCTCTTTCCCATCGACGACGTATTTGTGGGTATGTGCTTATTGAAGATGAACGTGACTTTGGTGTTCCACAACGGCTTCAAGACATTTGGGTATCGCCAGCACATAACACCCTTCAATCCTTGCATCTACAAGAACCTCATGGTGGTGCACAAGCTGAACACCACAGAACAGTGGACCATGTGGTCACTGGTAAGCCACCCAGAGACGAGATGTGACAAACCAGCTTTTAAAATGTAACACCAGTTAATATGCTGTAGCTTGGAGGCCAAAAATATGACAAATATAAAAAGCACCGTTTTATTTATCTTTTCATTTTATGGAAACATTTGTATAAATGCATGCTCTGAGTGCATTTCTATTGAAACATAATTGGTTAATTAAAACTTGTGGCTAGAGGTCTAGAGGGTTAAATCATTTTGCACTAAATTTATGTGAGTGACTATTGAATATGGATTCTGTGTTATTGGACATGCACATGTACTGTTTTGTGTGCATAATCTATGTGTAAATAAAGTTTAAGTTTCAACTTAATGGGAAAGCTGGACAGAATAATACTGGCTTATCTGTTAAGCTCACTGTTAACTGATAAGTTTGAGAAAGTAAAAAAAAAATGTCTTAACCATGATATTTTCTTTGAATTATCTGAAACGGCTTATCCTAATCAGGGTCGCGGGTGGTACGGAGCATATCCTGGAGGCTACGGGCGCAAGGCAGGGAACAACCCAGCATGGGGCGCCACGCCATCGCAGGGCCTCTTTGATATCCAGTTCAGAAAATACAGACAAACAGAATATTCAAAGCATACGATACCTACTCGTTTAGTTTTTGGCAGTCTCTGAAAACAGCGCTCCCATTTCGTGTTAAATCTATTTGTACAGTCAATCGCAGGATAACTATTTCCCACTACGGATGTGTTTTTTTGCGGCATCCAAGCTGAACGCTAACACTGCTCACTGCTACTCCGCGGATGTGAGCGCTTTGACTTCCGCCTTCTGTGACGTCATTTGCATAGGCTTTGTACGAGGAGCGTAAGGACATCAGATAAGAAGGTGATTTTGGACCATCCCACACTTCTAACAGCAACTATAGTAGCACAGCGATTTGCAGTCTTTGTAAAAAAAAAAAAAGTTTTGAGAGGTGGGAGTACCTTTTAGGTATACATATACCTAATATATTTATTATATTAAAATATTAAAGTAAAAAGTGCTCTTGTATCGGACTGTGTATCGGTATCGGCAGTTGTCTATCAGAATCTGATCGGAACTGAAAAAAATGTGGATCGGCCCATCACAAATCATAACATTTTTGTATGGTGTCTGAAAAACAGGGCACCCTAAACATTGTGAGATTAAATGATGTTCCTTTCTGCTTAGTTAGAATAATAAAACATTAATTACACAACAAATTCGAAGCTATTAAAATTTGTTAATGTTCAATGATCTTAGAGAGTTCAAAAAAGTTATATTTTGCATGATAAAGATGGCAATCACCAATGTCTGGTAACTGGCAATTGTAAAGGTCTTTTCTGAGAAATTCATGATAATCTGCATATTTCTCTTGTTATTTGACATTATTCCAGTTGCATCACTCTTTTGCTATGAGCCACATGTCCATTTCCAGGCCAGCACAGATTAAGCTCTGCATTCACCCACACTTTACATATTCAGGTCCCATGGCTGTCAGCTCTCTACACATCTGGGAAAGAGGAAAGCACTTCAGCCAAGAATAAATGCAGGACTTATGAGGTTCTCAGAAAGTACAGCACATGCCATTTTGTGCAATGACAATAGTGCTTTTTAGCTAGAAAAGTTGAACTGGAAAAGGGAACAAACAGATGAAGAGCCAATAAAAGCAACAGGAAAGGAGAGGATTATGTTACTGGTGGATGAGGATGGTGATGGTGCATGAGACATACTGTATGTTCAGTGATTAAATAATGTTCAGTTTATGTGATTCACCTGGAAATAGACAATATAAATCTGTGCATTCCAAAAACATTGTTCTAAGAAACGGGTATAAATTTAAGCTTCCAAATGAAGTAGCATGTTTGCTTGAGACTAGAAGGTGAAGTAACTTCTCATGATGGCATGCATTCCAGGCTACAGGAAGAAACCATAATTAGCTGTAAATCACTTCTGTCTGTGAGCATATTCATTTTCATGAATCTGACTGAATTTCTGATTTCTGAATATGCATGGGTAATATGGGTGACTATAAAAAATTGAGAAAGTTATTTTGTGGTGATGGATCCCCGTAAAGTGATTTCCCACATCTTAATACCTAACATTTTGAACAGCCCAGAATCAACACGGTCTTATATACAACACATTAATCTTTTTTTCTTTGCAACAGTATAGCGTCATCAAAAAAAGAAAGACATTTTTTAATTTCCTTTATCTAAATCATATGTTATATAAACAAAATTAAAGTAACCTAGGGGGAAAACTCAACACTCAAGAAAGTTAAACTTCAACAAAGTGAACTGATAGTTTTATCAACAGTAGTGCAGAGAAGGTGGGTGGTTTCGTGGCTTTATGGAATCACAAGAAATGCCCTCCCTTCCACAAAAATATTTCATATATATACACACATAAGAACATAAGAACACGAGAAATTTACAAACAAGAGGAGGCCATTCGGCTCATCAAGCTCATTGGGGGGAGAACTTAACTAATAGCTCAGACAAACACATCTTACGACCACTTTTTCAGTATGTGTGCAGGGAGGTCTGAATCCTAGAGGACAAGGTAGAGGAACACTCTGAACAGGATGTCAGTCCATAGTACACAGACACACACACACACACAATGGATAATTCTGGGATAATTTGCCTACCGGCATGTCTTTGCACTGTAACATTAAAACTGAAGTACCTGGAGGAAACCCATATGACACAGGGATAATGAACAAACACACACACGTGCGCGCACATACACACACACATCAATCCACTTTTATAACTCTAATCCCAACAATGACAATCCTAACCTTTACCCAGCCATAACCTTAAGCATAATTAACCAAATAAAATACCAAACTTTTAGTATTTTTAGTTTTGATTACAGTTACAGATTTTTATAAAATTGAGTTTTCCCTTGTGGGAAGCGAAAAATGGTCCCCACAATGTTGAAACAACAGGTTTGGAGTCTTTCCCAGAGGACACAGGCTAAAAAGTACCCTGAATGGGATGACAGTTTTGCTGGAAACTTGGTCTTCTGTAAAACTATCTTGGTTTCTTCAAGCAAGCCACCATTTACCTTAATAACAGCTTTATGAACACAAGTGTTAGCAGGAAATCACACAGCATGACTTCTCGGATCTTCATCAGCAGTTCCCAATGATCAGTGAGTTTGTGTAGCTTAGTTCAGACCTTTCTGTCCATTCTGTGTCCCATTTAAGTTCTGTAGGGTCAAGGCCTGGAGACTGGGCAGGTCAGGTCATTAGTTTCAGTTGTCTTTCACTTTTCTTTGCTAGAAAGTTCTTGTCTATTTTTTTGAGGAATGTTTGGGTGGTGTAGCAGATACTGAACTAGCGGCTCAGCAGCTACAGCGGGAT